TTTATCTATATATTTCTATTAAAGTATTTCTGTTTGCACTTAAAAAAGAAAAGTATTGAAAAACTTCTGTCAGGACATTGTGTTATCCCTAAAACCCAACTAAATTAAATGCATAATTCAAAATACAGGAAAAATACCTGTGGAATATGGAATGTTTACTATTTTAACTGACATTTTTTGTGCTTCATAGGAGAATTAGTTTCAGCCATCCACTGGCAACTGAAAGTTCACAAAATTACCATAGATAAATATGTCTGCTGATGGAAATGCAGTACAAGCAACAAAATTATAAAGCATAGACTGATTCAGTCTTTTAATGGTTGAATACTTAAATGGAGAATCACAAAAAATATCTAACGAAAATCTTGTCTTGTATTGTGTGCCCCGTGAATAAAGTACTCCACCTAGTGGCTAAAAAAAACAGTATTTTTCACATGAAGTGGAAGTGCAGGAATTACTCATTAAATTAAACTAATTGTTTTCAAATTCAGTTTGGCATATTTTATAGGCTATTAAACGATATTTTGAATGCCTACTTATCACTGTCAACCGAACTGTTTCACGTAGTTTGTCAAGACAAGATTGAAGTATGCTACAAGATTCATTCGCCCCATATGAACACAGTTTGTGAAGTATTCTTAATTTGGCTTTTCAAAAAAAATATTCTCGGATAACTTTGTGTTGACCCTCACCACCTTACACTACCGAGAAATCCAAACAATTATTACAGGCTGCCATCTACCGTCTGAAAGTGCTGAAGAACGTTTTGAATCAATTTGCTCCCCTGCTGCTTTCATACACACAACATCATTTATAGCATATGTTTATAGACCTATGTAACGAATCGAATGCCATTGTAATTTGTTTTATTTTATAATTGTAGCCTATATATAATTTTGTACTAGGCTATAATCTTATAGGCCTATTTTGATTTGTATGTTTTTCTCAACGCAATTCTGACTGTGTTGCAGAATTTTTAATTCAGTGTTCGGCTCATATGTAAATTGCGCGAGCTTATTTCGCAATATTAGATCGAAAGATCAGAAAAAGTCCACAAACACTGGCCTATAGACCCTCCCCTCAAAAGAAATCAGGACAGAAGAGATCGACGGATCAAAACACCAGGGGTAAGTTCAAGCTCAAACCGGTGTGCACCGTTTTGCTACGGTTTCCGGTTTGAACGACATGTTTCCTGGAAACGGTGTGCAACGGGGTTTGAGATGCGTTTTCTCTTGTTTGGTGGGTGTGTCAAACATGTCAGCCCAATCAGCAGCAACATGTATATAAACCACGCGGTATTAAAGAGACAGCTTGCACAATGTAATTAACATCCAAATAAATTCACAAGAGCAAGAATATTGTTTGCACATGTTTATTTACATTAAAGGCAAAATAACTGAAATAATAAGGGCACAAGTATAGATCTGGAACTTCTTTAAGTCTGTCTAAATATAATTTAGTAATTGCAATGTCTTCTGGTCCATATCCTTAGGAAGGTGTCCTAAATACTGATTAATGTAACATAAAAATACTATACATATTTATATATTTTGCTATTGCATTGTGGAGTGACACTTTCATAAACTTTTCTATACCCCCCTGATTATATAATGGTAAATATTACAATATCATAGCACAACAACAGTGATCAGCAATAATGAAAAGCCTAATACTCACAATAAAAATAATAAGGTCATATAGATCATAACACAGTCTCGGAGAATAAAATATTTACAAAAATGTGAGGGGTGTACTCACTTCTGTGAGATACTGTATGTGTGTGTGTGTTTTGTTTTTTGCAAATATGATTTATTCATTCATTTATTTATCAGCTGTGACATAAATCTGCGTGTTTTTTAATATTTTATCCAAGGGCATTTTTTTTTTACCTTTATAGAGGACATTTTTGCTGCCATAGTTACAACTCTTGCGTCATCAGAACAGGGTGTTCAACGCACCACCGTTTCCGTTCAAAAAACGTTTTGCACCATTTTTGTCGGGGCTGAACACAGCCCTGGTGTGAACGGGAATGTGTCTCCCTCCTCTGCGTGTGATGCGATCGACTAAAACGCATCTTAATAAGTAAACAGGGCCATAGTTCGTTCTCTTTACATAATGAATTGATGGTGGAAATCATACTTTCAACGAAATTAAAACGCCAGTAGGTGCCAGTAGTGAGCGTTTAATGAGCGAGTCATTGAGTCATTATTTTTGGTTACTGATGTTTTAATCATGTTATTTGTCTGGCATTAATGAAGCGTTAATGTCGAGCCCAAAGGAGTCTATGTGCGGGGGCTCAGCCCCGGACGGCCCCGGCCCAATTTAAAACCTGTTTATAGGTATATAATATAAATTGTATGAATATAAATATATACCTGTAAATACATGTAAATATTTTCAAAATATATACTGTATATGTGTGTATTTATATATACATAATAAATATACACAGTACACACACATACGGTATATTACGTAAACAAATCTTTTATTTTGGATGCGATTAATCACACACACACACACACGCACACACGCACGCACGCACACACACATACTGTATAGTATGTGTGTGTGTGTGTGTGTGTGTCAAAGAACATTTCTTACTGTTTTTGAACAGTAAGATTTTTTATGTTTTTTAAAGAATTCTCTTCTGCTCACCAAGCCTGCATTTATTTGACCCAAAATACAGCAAAAGCAGTAATATTGTGAAATATTTTTACTATTTAAAATAACTGCTTTCTATTTGAATATATTTTAAAATTTTATTTATTCCTGATTTCAAAGTCTTCAGTGCCACATGATCCTTCAGAAATCATTCTAATATGCTGACTTGCTGTTCAAGAAACATT